TTCACAAAAAGAGGTGAGTAACAAAATAGTATATACTTTAAAGATTTCATTTTATTTCAATGTCAATAATAGGAAAAACTAAATATTTGCAGAATTCAGAATAGTGGTTATCTAAGGGGAGGAAGAATTATAGTCTACAGAGTCACATAAAGATGGTAAAAATATTTTCCACTAGGTTTCTACTATTCTGTATCTCCATGAGTAATGTATTATTCATTTGCTCTTCAAACTTAGGGGCCTTTAGTGTTATTAGGTTTCGTTCTGTTCTGGTTTTTATTTGATTTTCTTTGTTTTGTTTTTATTTTAGCCTTTCAAATGCTTTTAGTTTCCAATTTCCTAATTATTAATGATGTTGAGCATCTTTTTGTTTCCTTATTTGCCACACATATATCTTCTTTTGGGAAGTGTGTGTCCAAATATTTACACAGTTTTAATTGATCTGTTTACTTTTAATTGCTGAGTTTTGAGATACATACTTATCTATAGATATAGATATAGATATAGATATAGATATAGATATAGATATAGATATAGATATAGATATAGATATAGATACAGATATAGATATAAATATATCCTATATTTAAGTCTTAGTCAGATATTCGATTTAAAAATATTTCCCCCCAGGCTGTCCCATTTATTTTCAGTCTTTAAACAGTGTTTTTTGAAGAGCACAAGCTGTGTAATTTGTTGAAGTCCAACTTAATTAATTTAATTAATTTTCCTTTTATGAATTATGCTTTTGCTGTCGTAGGTTAAAATCTTTGCCCAATGAAAGGTTGAACAGGTGGTTTGTTTGTTTTTTAAGGCTTTTATTTTTTTAATCCTCACCCGAAGATTTTTTTCCCCATTGATTTTTAGAGAGAGTGGGAGAGGGAAAGAGAAAAATATCAATTTGTTTCCGATTGGTTTCCCCCTGCACATGTGGCCCCGCCCACCCTGGCCCCGGCCCCGGATCCTAACCCCGCCCCGTGAGTGCCTGCACTAGCGACAAACCCCTGATAGGCAGAACCCACGCTCGTGCCAGACGCCAGCCTTGGCCCCGCCCACCGCGGGCCTGGGCCCGCCTCTGCACAGTGGCACTTCCTGCCTCGCTCCCGGCCCACCTCCGCTCAGCCCCGCCCAGCGCAGACCAGCGAGCCCGGAGAGATGGAGGGCCGAGTCCAGCTGATTAAGGCCCTCTTGGCCTTACCCCTCAGGCACCGGAGGCGTCGGTGGAGGAACCCGATTCCCTTCCCCGAGACGTTTGACGGCGACACCGACCGGCTCCCGGAGTTTATCGTGCAGACGGGCGCCTACATGTTGGTGGACGACACCCTGTTCTCCAGCGATGCCCTGAAGGTGACGTTCCTCATCACCCGCCTCACGGGGCCTGCCCTGCAGTGGGTGATCCCCTACATCAGGAAGGAGAGCCCCCTGCTCAGTGATTACCGGGGCTTCCTGGCCGAGATGAAGCGGGTCTTTGGATGGGTGGAGGACGAGGACTTCTAGGCCAGGAGACCCTCGGGCCTGGGGACAGGTGCTCTCGGGGGAGGGTCCCCGCGCCGGTGGCTGCCGCCCAGACCGCCACAGGCGTCCTCCCACCGCGCCTCCCCGTCCCCGTGTTCCAGTGGCGGTGATCTCCCCCGCGCTCCTGTTCCCTCCCGCGTAGTGCTTGCCTTTGTTCCAGGAATAGCGCCCCAGGTTCCTGCTGCAGCTGGGCCTGGCTCCGGAGCGCGCCGCCGCCCTCTCCCGCCAGCCCGGCCCCTCCCGTGCGGACTTGGACTCTGTCCTGGGCTCCAGCTGCGAGCTGGGCTCCCGTTACACACTGGACAGACCCCCACAGACAAGCCGTTGCCAACCTCTCCCTGCCAGGCTAGCAGGCCTGCGTGGATGTGCCCAGAGACCAGCGCTGTGGCTGCCATCACCATCCACCACCTCCAGCGATCTCGTCTCACCCAGGAGGTATCTGAGCTGGCCACAGCCCCTGGACAGTGATTCGAACAGCTCGCCAACCCCTTGGAGGGGCCGGCCAGCCTTTCACCTTCAGCGGGGGTGGGGTGGGGGGGGCATTCCCTCCGTACTCCCCCAGACACCTTCTATTCCTGCCAGATGGCTGCCAAGTCCCAGGGGTGCCCCGCAGCCAAATCGAGTTACTCGTTTTCTCCTGTGGCCTGTTAGTTTTGCTCAGCACCCAGTTCTCTTCTGAATTTGCAGCCGTCTCTCTGATGTGTGCCTTTTGTTCAACACAGTGACCCTGCACTCTGCCCAGCTCTTCTACACTACCTAGACAAAAGTCTTTTCCCCCCGAATAAACATCACATATTATTAAAAATAAATGAAATGTGAATGAATATGGTGCCTCTTCTTTCCTGGTTCATTACATAGGGTCCGTGTTTTGTTCAGCAGTTATGCCTTCTCTCATTCTGTGGCTGGTGTAGGGTCTTGCATTATTAAAGATATTAATGAGTAAAGGTGTTGATCCTGGAGATGGAGACCCCTCTGGTGATCATGCAATTCCAGATGCTGACTCTTCCAATCCAGTCAGTTCCATGTCCCTTAGGAAGCGGACCTTGATCTGACTATTCAAAGGTGATTTAAAGAGAAGCTAGCTAGGAGGCTTTTCAGAGAAGGTTTCTTCCTTTCCAAAAAAATCTGCTTGAAATCACACCTCATTGTTACAAACCATGAAACCCATACATTTGTTAGTATCTGTCAAAGTTTGTTTGTTTTTAACCCATTATTCAGGGAACCAGCAGAATGACAAAGGGGCTTTAGAAAATGCATTTACATTTACAAGGTCTTAGATTGTGTAAGTAGAAGGGAAAGGAATACAGAATTGTGGTTAATTTTGGTAAAATCCTGGTAGATGATCTGTAGGACAAAAAATTATAACCTTCTCTAACAGGCAGAAAATAAAATAAAACCACGTTACTCTGCATGCTCACCCCTTAAATGCACAGTGCTGGAAAAAAAAAACTACCTCATGTACGGCTGGGATAATTAAAATATCTCTACAGTCAAATAATAGGTGGGCTTATAAATCAATATGCAATCAAATCTGCCTCACTTCCAAATTAGGTGATTTTCCAGAACATAGGAAAGAGGAGTCAATCACAACAGTAATTTTAATTACTTTTCCTCTCTCTCCATATGAAAGGTAAATACTTGCCCTACATGTTCAATTGCTCGTAAGGCTGTATGTGGAAGTAGAGGTGCATTTTCTGCATTATGTATCTGATAATGTTTTGTTCCCAGAAATAGTGGAAGCATTAACTTGCAATTTGTCATGTAATAGGTCTAAGTCTTCTTGAAAGCAGGGGGAACTTTTGAGTTAATACAATAAACTTACGGTTCACAGGATTCTCAAAACAATTGTAAGTATCTAATTATGAGGTTCCAGTTGAAGGCCCTGGCAGTCTGCCTTCCCAGATGGGGTGGAAGAATGATCATGCAAGGGGGGGGGGGGGGAGGACACATATGTAATACCCTTTGTAATACTTTAAGCAATAAAAAAAAAAATTTAAAAAAGGACACATATGTAATACCCTTTGTAATACTTTAAGCAATAAAAAAAAAATTAAAAAAAAAGAATGATCACGTTAAGCATATTCGCTGTTCGGTTTTATATTTTTTAAACTTTATTTTTTAAATATATTTTTATTGATTTCAGAGAGGAAAGGAGAGGGAGAAAGAGATAGAAACATCAATGATGAGAGAGAATCATTGATCAGCTGCCTCATGCACACCCCCTACTGGGGATCGAGCCTGCAACCCCTGCATGTGCCCTTGAACACAGTTGAACCCGGGACCCTCAAGTCTGAAGGCCGACGCTCTATTCACTGAGCCATACTGGTAGGGCTTTATGTGGCTTCTTTTTTATACCCATAGTTGTAGGGCTTCCATTCAGCTACATTTCAGGCAGTTATGAATGATGGTTGTTCTGTAGTTTAGTTGTAATTTTGATATGGTTGTGGGAGGATGGGAGTACCACATTTATCTACACTACCATCTTGACCAGAAGCCCTATTCTCATGTATTTTTTTAAAATCTTATATAAAGGGCCTGTTCAAGTCACGGGGCCATTTTAAATCATCACTTTTTAATTATTGAGTAATAGTGGTTCTTTATTATATTCTGGATAAAAATCCTTTGTAATATATATGCATCCCAAATGTATTCTCTAGGTATATGCACCATGCTTTTCAGTTTTCTGAAAATAATCTTCTAAAGTATGATGTTTTCAATAATTTATATGAAGTCCAATTTATAATTTTTGTCTTTTATTTTAGTGTTTTAAATATATTTTTATTAATTTCTGAGAGGAAAGGAGAGGGAGAAACATTAATGATGAGAGAGAATCATTGATCAGCTGCCTCCTTCATGCCCCACACGGGGATTGAGCCCACAACCTGGGCATATACCCTAATGGGGAATCAAACTGGTTCATAGGTGAGCTACTGGTTCATAGGTCAACGCTCAACCACTGAGCCATGTGGGCCAGGCAGTCTTTTATTGTTTGAGTTCCTCCAAAAAACAGATGCCAAGACAGAAGTAGACATTCATGAAGTTTATTGGGGGAAACACTGGTAGAGGGTAAAGAAGAGAGGGAGAAGGGACAGGTGAGGGAAGCCTTCAGTCTATGAAAGGAAAGAGAGAAGGACGGAAGAGCCTACATTTACAGTTGAAGTTTTCAAAAAAAATCTCATTTGGACAAATTGGGAACTCAGAACAAATACTGTTGCTACTGGAGTTGTGTGTCAGACAGGAATGGCCTGGCTCTAGTAACCCTCAACTGCTCAGTCATTGACCAATAGCAGCCTGAAGAGAGCTTGACCTCAATGTGAATGTTGCATTGAGTCCAAAAGTGCATGCCCTGGCTGGTTGCTCAGTGGTTAGAGTGTCGGTCTGCTGACCGAGGGGTCTTGGGTTCAATTCCCGGTCAAGGTCACGTACCTCAGTTACAGGTTCCCCAGCGCCAGCAAGGATGTGTGTGGGAGGCAACCAATTGATGTGTCTCCCTCACTTTGATGTTTCTCTCTCTCATCTCCTCTTCCCTCCCTTCCACTCTCTCTAGCAATGAATGGAAAAAATACCCACAGGTAAGGACTTAAAAGAAAAAAAAACAAAAAAACAAAAGTGCAGTAGCTGGAAGGTGACTGCTCACTACTATCATGATAGAAGATTGTCCTGAAGGGAAGTCCAAGTAGCACACTTCCATGGTTACCTCAGTGTAACACTGCAGCACAGATCTACTTCTTAAGTTATAAGAACATCTACTTCATGGTTGATATGGACTCTCTTCCTGAAAGAAAACTTACAAGATGTAGATTAGTGTAATGAACTACAGTCCCATCACTGTAATTGCTCTCCAGACTACAACTGTGATTCATCCTCTTCCTGCTCCACCATTTAAAATTGCATAGTTTTTATTTATTTAAAAATTTGTAATTGGCACTTCCTGTTTGTTGTTGGAGAAAGGAGAAAGGAAAGCGCGAGGAGCCGCCGCCGTCACCAGCGCCGCCGCTCAGAAGCCGAAGAGACCGGGCTGCCGCCCCGCCGCCTTCCCGCCGCTGCCTCCGCGTGCTGCAGGACTCGTTCCAGCAGCCTGTAAAACATGGTGGATTACTATGAAGTTCTAGGCGTGCAGAGACATGCCTCCGCCGAGGACATTAAAAAGGCGTATCGGAAACTGGCGTTGAAGTGGCACCCAGATAAAAATCCTGAGAATAAAGAAGAAGCGGAGAGGAAATTCAAACAAGTAGCCGAGGCGTACGAGGTGCTCTCCGACGCTAAAAAACGGGACATCTATGACAGATACGGCAAAGAAGGATTAAATGGTGGAGGTGGAGGTGGAGGTGGAGGTGGAGGTGGAATTAACTTCGACAACCCGTTCGAGTTTGGCTTCACATTCCGGAACCCAGATGATGTGTTCAGGGAATTTTTTTGGTGGAAGGGACCCGTTTTCATTCGACTTCTTTGAAGACCCATTTGACGACTTCTTTGGGACTCGGCGGGGTCCGCGTGGGAGCAGGAACCGGGGAACCACCTCATTCTTCTCCGCCTTCACAGGGTTCCCGGCTTTCGGCGGAGGGTTTCCGTCTTTTGATACAGGATTTACTTCCTTCGGGTCAATAGGTCATGGAGGTCTCACTTCATTCTCTTCGACGTCATTTGGTGGTAGTGGGATGGGCAACTTCAAGTCCGTGTCGACTTCTACCAAAATTGTTAACGGAAGAAAAATCACTACAAAGAGAATTGTCGAGAACGGTCAAGAAAGAGTAGAAGTTGAAGAAGACGGCCAGTTAAAGTCCTTGACGATAAATGGTAAGGAGCAGCTGCTACGCTTGGATAACAAGTAATTCAACGCACGCATGTAACAGAGATGTTAACTGTAACAAGCACCATGTGAGGATTAACAGGAACATTTTTTTGAAGATTTCAGACGAACTCGACTTTCAGTATAACTGTCCCTAATCTAAAGTATTTATACACGCTCATCGGAGCCTGTTTGTCAGACTGTTGATTTATTGTTGGGACCACATGATAGGACCTTTTCTTTTTGGTCTTTACAATTGTTGTAAATCTCTGTATGCACTTTGCTTTTTATTAAACGTGATCCAGGGTGGCCGTGACTTCATACACTAACACCAGCACGGACCTGCTTTCCATTGTGTGTAAACATGAGCCAAGCAGTGGCGGCCTGCTGTGAAGCTAACATTGCCAGGACGCGCTCCCAGAGTAGTTTCAGTCTTTCAGTGTTGAGTAGTGAAAGGTACTAATGCATCAATGGTAATACATTTCTGGTTTAGTATAAATTGAGGATGTTTTCTAGTTGTGCATGAATGCTGGCAACTTAGTAAGTTTTGACAATTGTTTAAATGTGTAATGTTAAGCTTAGGTTTAAAAAGTAAAGCTGGTAAAATGGGTCTTTGTTATTTGCTTTAAAAAAAAAAAGAAAATAAATGCGATGTGTTTGGTGCATTCTTAAAAAAAAAAAAAATTGTAATTGATGAGAGAGAAAGAGAGAGAGAGAGAGATCAATCGGCTGCCTTCCACATGTGTCCTGACTGGGGATCAAATCCACCACCTTTTGCTGTATGGACCAATACTCTAACCAACTGAGCCACACCCATCAGGACTCAATCATTTCTATTTTTAAAAACATATTTTTATTGATTTCAGAGAGGAGGAGAGGGAGAGAGAGATAGAAACATCAGTGATGAGAATCATTGATCTGCTGCTTCCTGCATGCCCCACACTGTGGATCGAGCCCCACAACTGGGGCATGTGCCTTAACAGGGAATCCAACTGCAACCTCCTGGTTCATAGGTCTATGCTGACCACGTGCTGGGCTAACTATGGTTTTGATTTGCATTTTCCTAATGATTAGTGATGTTGTGCTCTTTATCATACACCTGTTGGTCATTTGCATGTCTTCTTTGGGGAAATGTATATCCAGGTCCTTTCCACAATTTTAATTGATTTTTTTGGGGGGGGTGCTGTTGAGTTGTAGGAGTTTATTATATATTTTGTATATCAGCTCCTTATCAGGTATATGGTTTGCAAATATTTTCCCCCTTACATAGTTTGACTTTTTGTTTTGTTGATCATTTCCTTTGCTATTCAGAAGCTTTTAAATTTTATGAAATTTCACTTTTTTTTCTCTTGTTGCTGATGCTTTTGCTGCCATATCAAAAAAATCATTGCCAGCACCAATATCAAGGAGCTTTTCCCTGTGTTTTCTTCTAATAGATCTTATGTCAAGTGTTCTGGTAGATATTATGTTATGTTCTTACACCACACACATATGCACACACATACAAATAATATTAAAGGGGGTGGGAGGAAACATTAGGAGGTGATTAATAATCTATTACCTTGATGGTGGTGACGGTTTCACCAGTGTATACTTATCTCCAAACTCATCATTTTACACATGGGTGGGCAAAAGTAGGTTTACAGTTGTTTGTATGAAAAAAACATGCACGTTATTATTATTAAAATAGCTTTATTAACTCTGTTTCACATACAACTGTGAACCTACTTTTGCCACCCATATATTTAACATGAAAGCTTTATACATATTAATAACACCTCGATAATTTTTTTAAATGAGAGACCAAAGAGCTTCCCTCCCCCAAACAAAGAAGTGTGCCCTCATCAGACACAAAATCTGCCAACCCCTTGATCTAGGATGTTCCAGCCTCCAGAAATGTGAGAAATAAATGCTTTTTAAGCCACCCAGTCTATGCTATTTGTTATAGAAGCCTGAACTAAGACTGGGAGTAACTGATAATAGATATGAGGTTTGTTTTTGGAGTGATGAAGATATTTGAAAATTAGATTTTGGTGACATTGTAGAACTCTGTAAATAAACTAAAAGCCATTGACTTGTACACTTTAAATGGATGAATTTTATAGTATGCAGATTATATCTCAGTAAAGCTGTTAAAAATGAAAAGAGCCCGCCAGGTTGGTGTGGCTCTGTGGTTGAGTGTCGACCCATGAACCAGGAGGTCATGGTTCAATTCCCGGTCAGTGCACATGCCCAAGTTGTGGGCTCGATCCCCAGTAGGGAGCATGGAGATGGCAGTCAATCAATGATTCTCTCTCATCATTGATGTTTCTATATCTGTCTTGCTCTCCCTTCCTCTTTCTGAAATCAATAAAAACATATATATATATATATATATATATATATATATATATATATATATATATATATATATATGCCAAGCGACTGGAATGCCAGAATGACCGGAACAATTGGAACAACCAGTTGCTTTGATGTGCACTGTGGCCAAGATTACCTCCGGACCTCGATCAGGGCTGGGGCTGGCCAGCCAACCTCCATCATCCTCTCCCCACAGCGGTCCCGGCCCTGATCAGCCCCAATTCGTGTATCGGGCATCTGGTATTTTTATAAAAAATCCTTGAAGGTCTTTATCTCTTTCTTTAAAAAAAAAAGAAAATGAAAGAGCTCCAGGACAAATATCATATTGGTTAAGAGTGCAGGGCTTCTGGTATTTTCAATGTTTGTCCCAGGTCTGCCAGCTTTTAGCTATAGGACCTTACTAAGCTTCTGTTTCCTCAAATATAAATGGTGCTTACCTCATGAGGGGTGTTGAAGATTAAACATGAACATCTGTGTAAGTTTCCTGGAACACTGGGTGTGCTAAAAATATCTTCAGCCATTTTGTTATTATATAGGTCTTCATCTCTAATTCCAGGACATCCTTTAAATAGAATAAAATAAACCTTATGAAAATTGAAAAAAAAATACTGCATATTTGAGAGCTTAATTTGCAAAAATATAGTAATAACTAATATTTTTTTCTGGACATCGAGCAGGTTTATACATAAATTAACTATTATTACTGTATTCCTTTCCTCACAATCTTTAAATGATTCTATGAATTAACTACCATTCTTTTGGTTTCCTGAATAATGAGTTAAATAAAACTTTTACAGGTGTTCATCAAGAAGCTATGTGAAAATTATGGTTATAATATTTTGAGAATTGTGCTTTCAAGTCACTTATTATATAAGTTCTCTCTACCAATATTGCCCTGGAACCCAAGATCTCAGAACATTAAACCACTCAAAGGCCACTTTGTCCCCTCCATGCCTGCATTTTCTATATTAATTTTTTGTACATGTTGTCACAAAATTTGTGAAATTATATCTTAACTAGAGGCCGGGTGCACGAAATTCGTGCAGGGGGCGGGGGTGTCCCTCAGCCTGGCCTGTACCCTCTCCAATCCGGGACCCCTCAGGGGATGTCTGACTGCTTCTCACAATCTGAGACCACTGGCTCCTAACCACTCTGTCTGCCTGCCTGATCATCCCTAACTGTCTCTGCCTCGCCCTGCACCCAGGACCCAGGATTCTTTCCTCTGGCCAGTTGCAAGCACCTGGGACCCAGGCTTCCCTCCCTCTGGCCGGCTGTAGGCACCCGGGCTGCCTTCACCCAGGCCGGCCACAGCCACAGGGGACCGTGGGTGGCGGCTTTGCCCGGGCTGCAGCCACAGGCGCCAAGGACTGCAGGGCGGGTGTCTTGTCCCTCTCCTGGGCTGCAGGCGCAGGCGCTGGCACCCAGGACCACAGGGCAGGTGTCTTATCCCTTTCCAGGGCTGCAGCCCCAACTGCTGGCATCCGGGACCATGGGGCGGGCGGCTTGTCTCTCTCCCGGGATGGGCTGCAGTTGCAGGTGCAGCCGCTGGTGCCTGGGACCACAGGGCATGCGGCTTGTCCCTCTCCTGGGCCACAGCCTGGCTGGTCCCCATTCCTCTCTCGCAAGCTCATTTGTGCCTGGCTGGTCCCCATTCCTCTCTCATGAGCTCATTTGTGTCTGGCTGGTCCCATTCCTTTCTCCCCAGTGTTGAGTGAGCCATTATGGAGTGACAGCATGAGGGCATGATGACCATTTGCATATTAGCTCTTTATTATATAGGATTATAGACTTCAAGTCAATATTGGCCCCAATTACCCTTTCCCAAGAATTTAGTTTAATTTCATTTTCTCTCTCATGACTCATATTTATCTATGTTTTATGAATCTTATGTTTATTCCTTCATCGATGCTCACTTGAGTGGTGCTTCATGATGGGAGATAGAATAGTTTGCTGAGAATGAAGTGAGGGAAACAAACCGAGAATGACAACTGTAACAGGTGAGATGATCAATGTAACTTCTATGGACTGTATGTTTGTGTCCCCCACCCCATTCTAAACCCATATGTTGAAGCCCCAATCCCCAATTGATGGTATTTTGAGGTAGGGCATCAGGGGAGGTAATTAGATTTAGATGAGGTTGGAGCCCCCAGGATGGAATCAGTGCCTTTATAAGAAGAGGAGAGCTCTCTCTCTCTCTCTCTCTCTCTCTCTCTCTCTCTCTCTCTCTCTCTCTCTCTCCCATATGAGGATACAGCAAGAAGGCAGCATTTTCAAACCAGTAAATGAGCACTCATAAGACACTTAATATACCAACACCTTGAACATGGACTTCCCAGCCTCTAAAACTATGAGAAATATATTTTATTGTTTAAGTTACTAAAGCTATGGTATTTTATTATAGCAGCCTAAACTGATTGAGGCACAAATGAAAAACAACCTACCTTCTCCCCTTACAAATAACATGTCTTCCCTCCTTTCATGAGATCTTGGAAAAAATGTTCATGATTAATTCTTGCAAATTAACCCTCCCCAAGACATTTGTATCACATAAAAGGACTGGGGATGGTACAACTAGTGTATATTAAATAATCCCTAAGACAGCCATTCTGACAGAAGGAAGAAAACTGCTGTGGCATTTTTGCTGAGGGAGATAGGGGGTTACTGACATTGTTCAAAGGACACCCAGCAGGTCCATACCCATACTACCTATATCTAGAACCAGGTGGACACAGATTGTAGGGGATATGTTGAAGCTACTTCCTAAAGTAAACTGCTTCCAAACACTTCTCAAATTAGCAAAATCTATGTTTAAAACCAAACAGTGAATATGCTTATCATCCTATCTATCCATCCAGGAAGGCAGACTCCCAGCACCTCAAATTGGAACTTCATAATTTGCCTTTTAAAAAATTGTTTTAAGAACCTGTGAACCGTAAAAACTTCATTTTATTCAGCAATTCAAATAATTACTCTGACTTCAAGACTTTGATGTATTACATGCTATATTGCAAGTTAATGACAGTTTCACTATTTGGAGGAACAAGAAATAATTAAGACATAGTACAGGTTCCCTAGCCAGTTTGGCTCAGTGGATAGAGCGTCAGCTTTCAGACTGAAGGGTCCTGGGTTCAATTCTGGTCAAGTGCACATACCTGAGTTGCAGACTCAATCCCCAGTAGGGGGCATGAAGGAGGCAGCCGATTAATGATTCTCTCTCATCATTGATGTTTCTATCTCTTGCCCTCTCCCTTCCTCTCTGAAATCAATAAAAAAATATTTAAAAAAAGACATAATGCAGGCAATTTTCTTCCAGTTATCCTATATAATAAAAGGGTAATATGCAAATCGACCTGATGGTGGAACAACCAGTCACTATGATGTGTACTGACCACCAGGGGTCAGATGCTCAATGCAGGAGCTGCCCCCTGGTGGTCAGTGCGCTCCCACAGGGGGAGCACCGCTCAGCCACAAGCCAGGCTGATGGCTGGTTAGCGCAGTGGCAGTGGCTGGAGCTTCTCCTGCATCCACGGCAGAGCTAAGGCTGTCCAACTGCAGCTTAGGGCCACTCCCATGGGGAGCGGGCCTAGGCCGTCAGTCGGACATCCCCCGAGGGCTCCCAGACTGCTAAAGGGTGCAGGCTGGGCTGAGGGGACACCCCCCCCTCCCAGTGCACAAATGTTGTGCACCAGGCCTCTAGTATACACATAAAGTCCTGCAAACCACAGCATATGAATAGCAAAGCTAAACCGTGAAAATGAAGAAAGAAGACAGTGAAATGAAAGTGAAAAAATACTGGTGTGAATTATTCCTCTATCCCATGTCAGGAAAATCACCAAAATTTAGAAATGAGAGAAAAAGTTGATTGTAAAAGAGAAGGCAGCAGGAAGAGTAAGACCAAAAATTATATGGATTGACTCCATAAAAGGAGCCATAGGCATTAGTCTGCAGGAGCTGAGCAAGGCTGAGGACAGGACATTGTGCCCATCACTCATCCATAAGGTCTCCAAAGTCTGAGCCCACTCAACAGCACATAACACACAACCTTTAGACATCATAACAAAGAGCTGTCTATAAGCCGACCTGTGAACCATCTGATGTAGGATATTTAACTTTGTTGAACAACAATTGGTGAGGAAGAACAGGCTTTTAACCACACAATAAATATGAAGTTAAACTGCAGATAAACAATGAGCAATGACTTTTTCTGACCATTAGGGAAGTGTACGCTTTTATTCTCCTACAGGTAAAAAACCAGGCTAGTTCCTAAACAATCTCATTTCTTCATGCTTTTCCCCATCCCTACTACTTACATACTGAAAGTTCCATACATGTTTGTTTGTTTGTGTTTTTTTTTAAAATAAGTACCTATGTGATTTTGCTGGTTCCCTGAAAAATTGCAGTATAAAACTTAGGTATTGTTCACCATCAATGTAGGATTTATGGTTAGGACAATTTGGGTGCTTTCGAACCACTTTTTTGGAAATGAGAAAACCTTCTCAGAGAAGCCACCAGGCTGACTATTCACATTGCCTTGGAAAAAATAAAGATCCAATTCATAAGAGGTTTGGAACAATCTTGACTGGATTAAACAGTCATCAGTGGGGTCTCCATCATCAGGACCAACTCAGGCTTCCAATTTGATGTTTTGTTAACAAGGGTCAACAGAGAGTTTCTCTAACATCACCCATAGAATGGTAAAGGATATCTTTTCTGGACAAGAAATGGACCACATTTATAGGAATAGGAAAGAAGTAGTGCCTTACTTATTGAGACTATTTTTTAATAGTGTTTCACATTCATTGAAAAAAAACAAAACAAAAAATTTTTGTCCAGATAGTGTTGAGGAATATGATAGAATCTAAGAGTTATTTGGTAGACCAACAAGCACATAATTAAGGGAATACTTCAAATTCAGAAGAGAACTGCATTCTGGGCAAAACTAACAGTTCCACAGGAGAAAATAAGTGACTCAACTTGGCCGCCAGGCACCCTTGAGATCTGGCAGCTTTCTGGAAGGAGCAGGAGCTATGGGAGTAGGGAGGGAATGGCTCCAGATGAAGGTGAAAGGCTGGCCAGACCCTTCAGGAGCATGATGAACTGCTGGAGTCATTGTCCAGGGGCTGTGGCCAGCTCAGATACCTCCTGAGTGAGATGAGATCGCTGGAGGCTGCAGTCTGTCAGTGGGAGGCCATGGATGGTGATGGCAGCCACAGCGCTGGTATCCAGGCATATCAAAGCAGGCCTGCTAGCCTGGCAGGGAGACATTGGCAGCCAACAGGCTGAGGAGGTTTATCCAGTGTGTAACGGAAGCCCAGCTCGCAGCTGGAGCCCAGGACAGAGTCCAAGTCCACACGGGAGGGGCCGGGCTGGCGGGAGAGGGCGGCGGCGCGCTCCGGAGCCAGGCCCAGCTGCAGCAGGAACCTGGGGCGCTATTCCTGGAACAAAGGCAAGCACTACGCGGGAGGGAACAGGAGCGCGGGGGAGATCACCGCCACTGGAACACGGGGACGGGGAGGCGCGGTGGGAGGACGCCTGTGGCGGTCTGGGCGGCAGCCACCGGCGCGGGGACCCTCCCCCGAGAGCACCTGTCCCCAGGCCCGAGGGTCTCCTGGCCTAGAAGTCCTCGTCCTCCACCCATCCAAAGACCCGCTTCATCTCGGCCAGGAAGCCCCGGTAATCACTGAGCAGGGGGCTCTCCTTCCTGATGTAGGGGATCACCCACTGCAGGGCAGGCCCCGTGAGGCGGGTGATGAGGAACGTCACCTTCAGGGCATCGCTGGAGAACAGGGTGTCGTCCACCAACATGTAGGCGCCCGTCTGCACGATAAACTCCGGGAGCCGGTCGGTGTCGCCGTCAAACGTCTCGGGGAAGGGAATCGGGTTCCTCCACCGACGCCTCCGGTGCCTGAGGGGTAAGGCCAAGAGGGCCTTAATCAGCTGCACTCGGCCCTCCATCTCTCCCGGCTCGCTGGTCTGCGCTGGGCGGGGCTGAGCGGAGGTGGGCCGGGAGCGAGGCAGGAAGTGCCACTGTGCAGAGGCGGGCCCAGGCCCGCGGTGGGCGGGGCCAAGGCTGGCGTCTGGCACGAGCGTGGGTTCTGCCTATCAGGGGTTTGTCGCTAGTGCAGGCACTCACGGGGCGGGGTTAGGATCCGGGGCCGGGGCCAGGGTGGGCGGGGCCATGAGTAGCGCCTGGCCAGTGCGTGGTCTCTGCCCATAAGGCAGTTATTTGGTCACTAAAGTGCAGGTGCAAAACAGGAAGGATGGGACAATGAAGTGGGGGCTAGGAAGACTGAGGGAGGGGTCAGGGGAGGGGCTAATTCCCTTTGAAAGAAGCAGGGCAGAATTCAGAGCAGCTGGGATGAGCTTTTTCTGGTCGGGCCTCTGGGGAGGGGCGAGAATCAGGGGAGGAGCCCAGGATACCTTGCTCCCTGTGATGCTGTAGGTGCCCGCTGCATGTGGTCCCTTTTCCAGGGTTGAGATGGTCGGCCCCATCCATTCCTCCCCTGGGCTCTTGCATAATTGTTGCAGACCCTCAATGCCACTTGAGTGAGGTCCTGTGAACATATTTTCCTGCTGATCCAGGGCAGAGAGAAATGTTTTGGCTGGCGGGGTCCCCATTCCATTCCTTGGGATTTGGAGGGAAGGGAAATCATTAAAGTGCTTTTAGAATGGTCCCTGCCCCTGGAGTGGCTGGTGACCCCCACCCCTAAAACCTAGGGTCTAGTGATTCCCCCAAAGGGTCTGGGACATTCAAGCCGGCTCCCTGACATGCAAATAAAGGGGCCCATGCTCTAGCTGGTTTTGCTCAGTGGATAGAGCGTCAGCCTGCAGACTGGAGGGTCCCGGGTTCGATTCCGGTCAAGGGCACGTGCCAGGGTTGTGGGCTGGATCCCCAGTGGGGGGCGTGAAGGAGGCAGCCGATCAGTGATTCTCGATTCTCTCTCATCATTGATGTTTCTCTCTCTCTCTCTCTCTCTCTCTCTCTCTCTCTCCCTCTCCCTTCCTCTCTAAAATCACTAAAAACATATTTTAAAAAATAAATAAAAATAAAGGGGCCCAGGGCCCTGCCCAGTCAGCAGCAGTGGCATAAGGGGTCCAAGCCCCAAGCACTCTCCCCTTCAGTGGAGAAAAGGGGAGATGGGGCACACTCAATTCCTGTTAAGGGGAAGCTGTGCCTCTCCCCAGAAGATGGGAAAGACAGAGTTTCGGGAAAGATAACATGTTGTGGATGAGCTTGGTCATGTGTGATCACAAAAGCATCAGGGTTCAGAGGTCACATTCTCAAGGGCTGTCTGTCAAGTGCACCTGCTCTGACTAAAAGGCATAGTTGTCGCTAATACGCAGGCTCACTCTGGGCAGAGGCACTAACCAGGACCTAGGGCCTGCATGGGACCGTGTCCATGGACTATACCCTAAGCACTCCACCCACAAGGCAGTTGGCCACTAATGCGCAGGTGCCAAACAGGAAGGATGGGACTATGGGATAGGGTACTAGAAGACAGAGGGAGGGTTCAGGGGTGGGCTAGCTCCCTTTAAAAGAAGCGGGGCAGAATTCAGAGCAGCTGGGTTGAGCTTTTTCTGGGTGGGCCTCCGGGGAGGGGCAGGAATCAGGGGAGGAGCCCAGGATACCTTGATCCGTGTGATGATGTAGGTGCCTGCTGCATGTGGGGACCACAGGGTCCCTTTTCCTTCCGTCCTCCCCTGGGCTCTTGCATAATTGTTGCAGACCTTTGACTCTCCATGGCCTTTGAGTGAGGTCCTATGAACACATTTTCCTGCTTATGGATGAATCTCTCAGCCACAGAGGTATTACATGGATGGTTGTAGATGTGGTGGCCCCAAATGTTTGCCAACATAATCCAGAGTAGCATATTCAAAAAATAACACACCACAATCAGTTAATATAAAGAGGGTTAATTGATTTTTAAAAATCTCTTAATATGCTATTGAAGAAGCCAAAACAGGATTACCAGTATACAACCCAAAAGATAAAAATAAGGGAGGCGAGATGCTTTCCAAATGTGACTTTAAACATGTTCTACCTAAGAATAAAGGAATGGAATTACTAAGTGTTTCATAAATTGGAAAGGAGGAGGGGAAATTAACCATCACTTGTTATATCTGAATTCATTTGTCTGGCTGAGTGCAAAAATTAATATAAATAGATCATGGGC